ATGAAATACTAGGCTACAAGACTTTTGGGACACCCTGTATGTTATGGAGCTCTTATTTATATTTGTAGGTAAAAATTAAGGTTACTGTGGTCTAGTAAACCGGTCAATTGGATTATCTTGGCAATTTCCCGAAGATTTAATGTAGGCATGGTTCTGCTGGCTATACTCCTATTGCTGGTCTATGCTTGCGACGCATACAGAATTCTCGTCGTGAATCCTAAGTTCGCTTACAGTCATGTAAATTATATGGGTAGAATTGCTGATGTGCTTGTGGACGCTGGGCACGACGTGGTTAGTTTCTACAGTTGAGACTTTTGGAAATGATGAAATAGATTCGCTAACTTGCTTACGTTGTCAGGTAACACTTCAACTTGTGCTTGCACCATTTCCAAACAACGGCACTGAAAAATCACGGCTAATTCAAGTGGAAGTGGATAAAAATGTGATTGCTCCTTTGTTAGCTACGTTCCAGAAGGACCACGACACTAAATGGACTGAAAGCGCTACAAATCCCCTGCAATTTTTTAGAGTATGTGCCTAAAATCATTCAAGAAATATTTAAATATTCACTGATTTTTCAGTTAATACCTACTATAAGAGAATTTGTAACTTTTGGTGTAGGAAGTGAGTTGTTCATCAGAAAGAAATAACCAAACCTAAATTGCTTTTATAGCGATTCTTGACAACAAACAAATGCTACAGCGATTGGCATCTGAGCACTTCGATGTTGGCATTGCAGAGCTATTTGACTTTTCTGGCTTAGGTATGTGAGTTTGATATTATGTAATCGTTTTTTCACTTCTCATTTGCAGCCGTATTTGAAGCCATCGGTCTCAAAAACATTATTGGAGCACACACAGTCTCAAGTTTGATGGAAGGCTCCGCTTATGCTGTCGGTGTTCCGGTGATTCCCAGCTATGTTCCAGGTATTGACCGAACACTACGTAGTTTATAAACCTAGATTATGAAACTTTGGTATATGTATATTCTAATTTTTCGATTAAGCGTGGCAGTCAGATTGCTTATGACGAAAATTGACTAAT